GACTAAGTCCGATACATATATACATAAAATACATACACACACGTTCATGTGTACGTAGACACCTGACACCGCAGACACTACAGCATAGCGACCACATGTAAAACCATAACGAATAGATAAGTCGAATAAAAATGTTAGTAGAGTGGCATTTAAGTAAAATTAGCTAAAGGTAATTAATCCTTGGACCTTACATAACCATTTACAATCCTGTCTCCTTTGTTCCACCTACTGAGGACAAATCAACGTCTACTATCGATATATCTTTTCACAAAACACATATTAGAACATTATTAGAACAAAGAAAAAATTGGTTTGTTAACTTTTCCAATACCGATATTCCTGAAGAAGTCACAGGCCTTTTACAACTAGGTGAAAATTTTAGTTTACTACCGAACAACAATTCTAAACTAAGTTTTGAATTTATAAAGAATTTCGAAAATAACATCAAACATCTTTAATAATAATAAAAAAATAGAATGTCGTAGCCGGTTTGTCTGTATTCTCCAACAGATGAAAGCCTCTAAATTTACCAAATACCCATATGATAAAGAAATTAAACAAGCTTTAAAATCTACCTTTCAATTTACAAAGAGTCATCCTTCTATTGCTTTTACAAGAGCGGACAAAGGCAATGCGGTTGTCGCAATGGATAGAGATTCATATAAGCAGCAAATGAAAAACATGTTATCCGATATAAATACATACGCCCCTGTCAAAAATAACCCCATTAATTTGGTTGTAAGATCTTTCAAAAACATTTTAAAAAGGTGGAAGTTTCGTGATCACATCTCAGAACTCACGTAGAGAAATTTGAACACTTCCATCACCATTTTTCCTAGAGCGTATGGCGTTCCCAAGATCCATAAACCAGGAAATCCTCTTAGAATCATTATTTCTTCTGTCAATAACTCACTACATAACTTGGCAATGTTTTTGCACAAAATTATTTTCTAAAAGCATTGAACCTCCTTCGAGTTTCGTTTACAATAGTTTCCATCTTGCCAGTTTGATCTCTCAGGTTACCTTTGACGAATTGTTTGAGTTAATCTCTCTTGATGTTATATCGTTATTCATTAATATCCCACTAGATCTTGTAATCAAAAGTTTTTTTTTCCAAATCAAAGGTTTGGAAAAACGACGGCATTTAATAAACAATAACACCAGTCTACTTAAAGAAAAATTTTTTATAGCTCTTAATTTTGTTTTCAACTCTTCATTTTTTCAATTCGACAATAAATTTTATAAACAGACCTTTGGTGCACCCATGGGCTCTCCTCTCTCTCCGATTCTGGCAGATATCGTTATGCAAGATCTAAAATCGTCCACTATTGGTATGCTATCCTTCACTTCACCTTTAGATATCTTTAGATACCTTTAGATACTCCATGTTAGATACGTTGATGATATAGTTCTCATGGTTCCTAAAGATCAATTTGATGTAGTTCTTGATTACTACAACTCATACCACCCTCGCCTACAATTTAGCATAGAGGTTGGCCTTGACAAACTCAACTTTTTAGACATCACCATTATTAAGAATGACAAGAAACTAATTCATGACTGGTATCACAAACCAACATTTTCAGGGTAGATATCTTAACTATTTTTCAAACCACCCTATCAGCCAAAAAAGAGGCACGGTTGTGGGTCTCGTGGACAAGGCTTTCTTTCTGTCACATCTGACATTCCACTCAAAAAATTTTGACTTGATTTTTAAAATATTAATTGATAATAACTACCCTTCAGACTTCATTTACAACATTTTTAAACAGAGACTAAAAAACACATGTTTTTTATAAATAATGACTCTAGGAGGTTCTTTTCGTGTGATCCTACAAACAGTGCTCAATCTCGTTGAGGCTTGTGATACCTTATATCAACAAGTTTTCTGAGAAATTTTTAACAGCATTTCCCAAAGACACTAACACACGCCCAGCTTTTTACAGTACTGACAAATTGTCAAGATTCATCAACGTTCTTAAAGATCCTTTACCACTTTCCTCACGCCCCTCCGTTGTATATCAAATTACTTGCCGTGATTGCGACGCTTCTTATGTTGGACAGACGAGCAGAATGCTCGTCACAAACAAGAATAAAAGAACATAAATATCATATTAATAGAAATTCCTCTCAAAGATCGGTGTGTGTGTGTGTGATCACGGATCACAGAATCCAATTCTCTCACGACTTTGATTGAGATAATATCAAAATATTAGATAATGAGAGATCTTACAATAAGCGTTTGATTTTGAAGACTCTACACATAAGGAAACACAGCCATGGTCTAAATTTACATAGTGACACAGAAAATCTGGACATATCTTACTTACCATTCGTAGATGACAATTGCGATTGAACTATGTCATGTGATTGACGATCGTTGGCTTTGATTTTCCTTTTGAATCTCATCTCCCCTTAGTCACTTCGTTACTGTTATAAAGTGATAGTCAAGTTCTGGTCCTACCACCGACTAGTTACCACTAAATGACGACCATCATTCTTTGTTTGTGAGTTTTTGTAAGTTTTTACTAAGTTCTACTAATTGTAACGTATCCTTTATTGCAAACTATTTATTTTATATTTTTTGTAATACAACATTGAGAAAAACCTGAACCAAAGGTCGAAAGCTTTGTAATAAATTTGCATAATCTATAGCAATAAACCATTTTTGAATATACAAATCAACATCTGTGTCTGTTCCAAACAGCCAATCACCACACATCTGTCTATATAATTAACAATCTGCAACTTTTAGCCGTCGCTCATCGTTCGTTCAAAAATTATAAACAGAAAAAATAACATAAATGAACTCTTATTTTCTGACACCGTGTACGTTTTATTCGTGTTGTAAGCGTGTAGGCAGGGAGGGCTGCGCCCTCTTGCAGGGGGAGGGCTGCGCCCTCTTGCAGGGGGAGGGGCTTCGCCCCTCCCCCCTGCTCCCTCCTCGAGAAAAAATGAAGAATTCAATCAAATGTCGCTTCATGTCATAATTGTTTATTCAAACAATATGCACGGTTACATTCATCATACAGTAAATCACAAAGAAAATTTCGTAGATCTTCATACTAATTGTCACAACTCCCACGCATATAAAACACAAAACCCACTATCGGTTTCTTATACACTCTACTCGTATACATACTCCCAAGGTTGGGTAAGTTAAATTTTTTTTTTATTTAAGTTAAGTTACAATTAAAGGTCTTAAAAATTTTATTTAGTTAAGATATAAGTTAATCCATAAT